TCTGTGTGACAGCGACAGGGCCCGAGGGAACGGCATGCAGCTGCGTCAGGGGAGGGGCGGGAAAAGGGGCTCGGGAAAGGCGCTGCACCAGGGGGCGGTGGGCGCGGAACGGGCGCGGAGCTGCTGGAGTTCAAGGAGCGTTTGTACAACACTCTCACACATATGATCTGATTTTTTGATGGTCCTATGTGGAACCAGGAGTTGGACCTGATGATCCTTATGGCTCCCTTCTAACTTGGGATAATCTGTAATTCTAAGAATAGTCCTTGGTATTTTCAGCCATGAATTTATCTAATTGTTCTTTGAATTATGTTAGCTTTATGAATCCCACGGCATCTTGCAATCAGTTCCACAACTTAATTGTGCACTTCATAGAAAAATGTCTCTTTTGTTTGCCACTTGAGGATTTGATTTTATGCCTTCTAGGCCTTAAATTATGAAAGACACTCATGATTTTATGTCTCTGCCATAAACCTATTTTCTACAGGCTAAAAGTTCAAGCACTCATTTCTTGTAAAGACACAACCCCTGTCAAGTTTCTTCCTTGCGAGTTTCCTAGCTCTGCTATACCAAAGCTATTGATAAGGACTGCACACTGTATTCAAAGAGATGTTCCATGGCCTTATGGTCACATACTGTTATTTTCTACTGTCCTTTCTTCTCTTGTCCTTTATTAATACTGCTTATTTGCTTAAATAATGTGTCAGCTTGACTTACTTGCCCTTGGAGAGAGGAAGATGGTGTCTGATGCACAGCTGACTAGATTTCAACCAAATGTTTACAAAGAATTGCGATAATAGATGCTAGAGAAGAGGTACTCTCAACACGAAGTCCAGGGCTACACCAAAGCCAAAGAATTCAAACACAGGACAGAAGGAGTTTGGTCCTTGCAGGCTTGCAATAACAAAGCTTATTTCAGGAACTTTGCTTGAATATTATGCAAATACACACTTACCAAAGGGATGATGCTGCTGCCTAGCTGAAATTACTGCCATGGTGCTTTCCAAGCTGTTGCAATTGCAATGTAAGGAATCCCACAGACTTATAGAAGCATCATATCTTTTGTACAGTGTTTTTGAAGCTTGGAAGAATGCTGTCACCAAGAGCAACTATGAACATTTATTTGAAAAACTAATGACTGAACCACAGGTCTCTGGTTAACCCACTGCATCTAGTTTCACTCTTCAACTCCAGTTTTTCATAATGCCTTTGGCCCTGTGCTGTATCTAGAGTCCTTGAGTTTGTGAAACTAGTAATGCAGACTATTTCTTCATGAAATTAGATCCTTCTGGGCTCTTGTCCTTAACTTTTCTGTTTATCTCCTTAAAACTCTTTATGTTCTCCTTGCAATTCTTTCCAGACTAAGCTAAAGCCTAGCTGCTGAATTTTCCAGTGATTGTAACATCTCCATGTTACATAGTAGATCCCAGAAGCTCCTGGACAGGTAATGTTGTGAATGCTAAAAATTCATGTGGTTTACAGGAAGCCTGAACACACTCATTGGCAAGAACTCCTCAGAAGGCTTAAGAATTCCCAAACTGAAAATGGTTTGTGGCCAGAAGTGAGGGTAGGGATGAGGAGAGCGTACGCTACAGGCAAGCTGCTGTGGTAAGCTTAGTGTCTGTGGTCTTGTCCTGGTTTCAGCTGGGATGGAGTTGATTTTTCTGTCTTAGTGTTTGACTGTGGAGACCAGAACAGGTCTTGCCACTGGCAAGTTTTGCTTTTGTTTCTCTGTAAGTTCTTGGTTGCTTCAAAGCAGCAGCCCTCCATCTAATGTGACTGCTAGCCCAGATGCTGGCCACCACTTGCCACCTCTGAGATTAGAGGATCTTCTCTACATAGGCATCCAGTGCAAGCAAGTAAGCAGAGGGGGAAGGGGGCATGCAAGAGAAGACTGGAAGTTTTTACTTGTACCCTCACAATCCTTGCACAAGGAAAGAAAAGAGGGGTAGCACCACAGCCTCATCATTTCCGTCTTGCAGCTGTATTTGTTCCACTTCTGTTACCACTGCTGAACCTCCACTGATACCACCACCAAGGAGTCAGAACAGATGGACCATGATTGTCTATCATGTCAAGCAGCAAGAGCCAAGATGTGCACTTGATACAAAGCAATTCAGACTTTGTCTGTAAGAATGGAATGGCAGGAATTGGTAACAAGTGAAAAAAATACAAAGAAAAAATAACTATGAAAATGAAAACATTGAGAAAAAGATGAACGCATGCAAAAGAAACCACAGTACAGAAGGGAAATTAAAGGTGAATGGGTTTTACTTGTGGTAAATAAAGGAGGCAATAGCTGGAAGGAAGGGAGAAGCATCAGCTTTGAAGGGTAGCAATACTCATAAAGGGGCTATATTACCTACAGTGATGTCATCATCAGGTCCTGGCTCACCTTCATGTTGTCTTTGAGTGTTCTGCATTTCAGATTCAAAAACCATTAGGCTTGGTGAAGTATAATTTGATGTCAGCTAATCTTGGGCAGGGGTCTTTGTCTTGAACATATTTTCAAAATTTCAAAAGTAGTTTATCTTGCTGCAGACATTAGGATTTTCAGAGTGTCAGTGCTAATGAGCTCCAAAGCACTAAAGGAACCATGTACAATACTAGCCAGAGTTTGATATAACTTGTTTGACAAGCAATAATGATTACAGCGGAGCTGGAAGTCAAACATGGATATGCCAAACAAACAGTAGCTTTTGTCTATACTAGGAGCTGTGTATGTCCAAAAGGTATTCCCTTTGGATAAAAGAGTGAAAACTCTTTTACCTAGATTTTCTAGGTTCGTTCATCCTTAACATATCTATCTAGGCACATGCCATACTCTGAAGATAATACCTTTTTACTGTCCATAATTAAATGGTGCATTTCTGAATCAGAACCTGGAGATGTTACTGAAAGTGGACATAATGAGAGATTTGAAGAAAAGTATGAGCTCAAAAGTGACTTCTAGGAAAGGTAATGTACTGGAAAATAGAACATGAGGCGAGACTGGAGAAACTTGCACAGGAAACAAACTGGTTAGAATCATAGAATCCTAGAATGGCCTGGGTTGAAAAGGACCACAATGATCATCCAGTTTCAACCCCCTGCTACTGGCAGAGTTGCCAACCACCAGACCAGGCTGCCCAGAGCCACATCCAGCCTGGCCTTGAATGCCTCCAGGGATGGGGCATCCACAGCCTCCTTGGGCAACCTGTTATAGTGTGTCACCACCCTCAGTGTAAAGAACTTCTTTCTAATATCTAACCTAACCCCCCCCCCCTCTCAGTTTAAAACCATTCCCCCTTGTCTTATTACTATCCACCCTCATAAGTGGCCATTCCCTCTCCTGTTTATGTGCTTCCTTCAAGTACTGGAAAGCTACAATGAGAACTCCCTGGAGCCTTCTCCAAGCTAAACAAGCCCAGCTCCCTCAAACTTTCCTTGCAAGAGAGGTGCTCCAGCCCCCTGATCATCTTAGTGGCCCTCGTCTGGACCCACTCCAAGAGCTCCACATCCTTCCTGAACTTTGGGGCCCCAGGCTTGGATGCAGTACTGCAGGTGGGGCCTCACAAGAGCAGAGTAGAGGGGGACGATCACATCCCTCTTCCTACTGGCCACCCCTTTTTTAATGCAGCCCAGAACACAGTTGGCCTTCTGGGCTGCAAGCGCACACTGCTGGCTCATGTCCAGCTTCTCGTCCACCAGGACCCCCAAGTCCTTCTCTGCAGGGCTGCTCTCAAGAAGATCTTCCCCCAGTCTGTATAAATACCTGGGATTGTCCTGACCCAAGCACTGCACCCTGCACTTGGCCTTATTGAACTTCATTAGGTTTTCACGGGCCCACTTCTCCAGCCTGTCCAGGTCCCTCTGGATGTCTTCCCTTCCTTCCAATGTATCAACTGCATCGCTCAGCTTTGTGTCATCCACAGACTTGCTGAGGGTGCACTCGATGCCACTGTCTGTGTCATTGATGAAGATGTTGAAGAGCTCCGGTCCCAAGACCGACGCCTGAGGGACACGGCTTGTGAGCAGCCTCCACCCTGACACCGAACCACTGATCACAATCCTCTGGCTGCACGCGGCCAGCCAATTCCTAATCCATCAAACAGTCCATAATTCAAATCCACACCTCTTCAATTTAAAGAGAAGGATGTGGTGAGGGACCATGTCAAAGGCCTTGCAGAAGTCCAGGTAGATCACCCTTTCCCTGTCTACTGAAGCCATCACTCTGTCATAGAAGGCCACCAATAAGCAATTTGTTTACACTACAGATCTCTCAATTTCTGCTTTTTTCTGTTAATGGATGGAAGACGATTTAGAGACTGGTTGAAGGAAGTGTTCTTGATTGAAAACATATTTTATACTTGTGGTAGAGTTAATTTTGCTTTAGTCAGGACTTCTAGTGATTATCTATCTAACCTAGTCATAAAATTATTCTAAAATCAGTGGAGATAAATGGCTGAAATGCCCATATGCACCCTGACAGATAGCTTACATTAGACACACAGCAATTTGAAATGTGGCCAATTTATATTGCCATCATGCAAGCCAGTTCTGCCTCTGTAATCTACTTGTATTTCTCTGCTTATTTTCTAATCCATTCCTAATCTTTCCACTTTTCTGTAATTGGCCAGCTCTCCATCTTCACATATTCCAACCTTCCTAAAACAAGAGCATTCTGCTGGGAAGTTCCTGCCTGTGGGAGAGCTATTCTGTAGCTCTTTGCTTTGGTGAGAAAGACTGTAGATTAATTTTAAAATTTCATTCAACTACAGATTATATCTGGCAATTTTGAGTGGAACCATGGTTCAACTATTCATTATCAATGTCTTTTACAGCAATCCTGGAATCTTGGCTTTTCATTTTTTTTCTGCTTCTTTCCTTACTTATTTTTCCTTTGCTTTCATTATTTATATGACATGTACATATGAAGATCTGCATAATATGATATTCACTTTGTAACTGAACCATTTCATTCTATGACCACTGTGAGGCAAAACAAGACATGCACCAAGCAAAGCAAATCTGTATTTTAATATATTAGTCACTGGAAGGAAGTGCTGCCTTTGGAAATACTGGCTCATTTTGGCAGGAAGCAAATGAGCAGGAATTTCGGTGATTCAGCTTTCAGCCAGGGAGGGACAATTAAGGAGAACGTGGATTAGGAAGAAACTAGAAAAGAAAAAGAGAATACGATGAATATGGAAGAAAAAGCAGCTCTAATACACGTAATATGTTATTTTCAGAGTAAATGTAGTATTTCCCTGTTACGACATGTCCAACTCATCTTTACCGTCAGGAGATTTAAGATGTAGGCCTTCGTTTCAGGCAAGACTTGAAGTTAGCCTCTGGCATCTTCATTTACACTTCTAAATAATGGCCACTTTTTCAAAGGTGATGAGACATTTGCAGATCTCATTGCCTGCGAGGGGATAATGAATGGCTTAGGCCATGAATTGCAAATGTGCAGCACTGAGCAGCTCGCTTCAGACAAAGCATTCGAGACTTTAACTTTAGGCTCCTAGTGTCAAAAACTTAAGGCTCAAAATGCAGATGTAAGAAAAAGCTAATGGACAGTGAAAATGCTGGCTTAATTAGATGGCTATAATTAAACTCGTGCTCACCCTTATGCAGGTACTCTTAAATGCATGTAAGAATGGCTCATTGAGCTTAAATTGAATAGAAGCCAACATAAAATAAACTGAAATAAAATGCACATAAACTGGAGCAAATGTCCATACTAGGTTTTAGCATGGGTTTAATTTAATTAATAAAGATTAAAACACTACTATTTCTTATTTGGATGGACCTTCAAAAGGTAAGATTTAGTGTGGATCATTTGTTAACTTTGATGACTTTTTTCACTTTATAATGAAAGTTTGGAACGCTTGTATAAATAGGAAAATTCTCAGTGCAGTTGTACATTGATAGCATTGATAATAAGCCACTGTGGGAACAAAAATACTAAGTAATTCATTGCAATTCTGAAAGATCATTTTTAAATACTTGCAAATGAGCTATTCATCCACCTCCATCCTACTGGAGATTCATGAAGAATGAACTTACCTTGAATATCATTGACTTTTGAGGAGAGACTTAACAGTAATGCAGATCATGTAGAGGGCCAAGACCTCAGCTACCTTCACTCACTATCTCTCTGTTGAAATGAAGATTATCTGCAGCTGTGCAGTATCTTTTTTTTTTTCATCATAAAATGTACAAACTAAAAGCATCATTTTCAAAATATTCTTTAAGGTTCCCATTTTTATTCTTTCTTTAAATAATATTCTGAAAACTAGTCAAAATAATTAATGTGTTCCAATCATCTAATTTAGGTATTTATTTTGTGCGGAGGTGAATTCACAATAACTTTAAATTGATTAAAAGGAATGCTGCCAATCGTTACTGAACCTCAATTTAATAGAATGTTTTGAAAATGAATACCAATCACAATCCAGGGTTTTTGATCTAGAATTGCACCAAATATATGAAATATATGGAATATTTTTCAAATAAATGCATGAAACACGGTAAGTGTATTCTGTGTATATAAGATCATACATCCACAAATAACATGAGCAAACGTCTGGCAGGTTTTACGTCGAGAAAGGATCTCAGACGAGTCACACAAGCCGACGCCAGGCGTTTTAACTCGTTTCCTGGCTCTGTCACGTCCGTGAGCGCTCTCCCAGCTCTGCACATCCCCGTGCCGTGCTGCAGTGGGGGCAGAGGTCCCTTAGCAGGAGCAATTTGGGGGTAAGCAGATCATCCTTCCAGGCTTTTGAAGTCCATGCCTAACTCAAAGCACAAAAGAGAAATTCAAAATGCTAACAACCAACATCTGCATAATAATTGAGGGCTTACAAGCTTCACTGAATCAGAGATCAAGACTCTTTCGTACCTCAGGCTCCTGAAGATCACCCCTCTGCCCCATGGAAGTGCCAGGGCCGAGTTGGCACGAGATCCGCATGTACACTTCTTAAAACAAGCACTGCCGGCAGAGAGGAGGGCAAGGTTCATGTGGACGAAGAAAACAAACTAGAGGAGCCTAAGACGTGTCGAGTGACAGTGAAAAGCTGCTCTAAGCATCCATTTAATAATGCCGAATCCCTATGACATAAAAAGCTGATCCAGCTTGAACTCCCTTACTCTACTTCATTCAAAGCATTTTGAAGGGCAGCTTTCTCTCCATGGGCTTTATGCTGGATTGCCTGTCACAGCCTCTGCAGTCCAGAATAAAACATAAACCCAATATAAACACTGTGTTATATCCCGTGGCTAATTCAACGAAAAATCAATTCTACAGCCTGGTACTTTGGCATCGCACATCTGGAATAAAGGAAAGTGGAAGTATAGACTGGAGTGTATCAGGAAAAGAATTCTTAAATTGACATGAGTGGTCAGTGCTGAAACAGGCTGCCCAGGGAGGTGGTGGAGTCACTGGAGGTGTTCAAGAAACGTTTAGACGTTGTACTGAGGGACATGGTGTAGTGGTGGTAGGTGGATGGTTGGACTGAGCAGTGCTGGAGGTCTTTTCCAACCTTGGTGATGCTATGGTTCTGTGATTCAATAACATGTGGCATCAAAGATAAGGTCTTTAAATAATTCTTAGCAGACTTCAAACATAGTCTGTGTTGAGACAAGGGAGTGAAATTCACATTTGATTTAACAGTCTCAGTACTTTAAATAGTACTGAGCCTCAGGAAATGCAGTGTGACCAACATTACAGAATGACATGGTCTGTGATGCGTGAGAACCATGTTCTTGAGCAATGTATTTCTTACGCTGGAATTGTATTCAAAAAGTATTACTAGACTGATTTGTTATCTACTAATTTTACACCGTCGGTAACATACATTTTCAGATTAAAACCACACCGGTTGGTTGTGTATGGGTCTTGTTGAAGGATATGCTGCAGGACTGTATTTTTGACAGAAAGCAATAGGAAAGCAATAGGAAAAAAAAAAAATAGGAGAATGTTCCTGCATGCATTTTACCATTGGTAAAGAGAAGGGGGGAAGAAAATGAAAGACAAACAAAAGCAAACTAAAAATCAAAACAAAGGAAAAAAATACAAGGAAATAAATTGTTTGCCTTTTGGAGAATTGTTGAGGTCAGCAGAGACGTCTGGTGAAGATCTAATCCAGGCACATCAGCCCACAGCCCACACGGCCCAGCACAGCTCGCACTGTGGCCACCCCCCACCCCATACTGTCCTGGCAGCAGCTCTGCCCCACCGAGCCGCCTGGCCCTCAGCACCAACCCAACACTGGTGTCCTGTTGACTCCATCTGGGCTGAAACCAGGGCTGCACTGCAGTGCCAACTTAAGCTATAGCAAATATGTTTATGGATTTTGATACATTGACTAAACACAGTCCTATAAACAGCAATATGCAGTTGTGCTTTCCATTGTGGTAAAGGTATTTGAGAATAGGTTTCAAGAGTGCAAAAAAAAGCACCAATTTTTTTTATTTATTTGTGACTCCATTTTCAGCTGACATAAATACATTATTTGATGGTTTTCCAGTGGGATGTTGATAGAGTTGAAGTAAAAAATTTGACCATGTCTGTCTACCAAACTTTCATAAGCCCTCTGTTACCAAAGAGAAATATTGCTCACTTCAGAGCCATGCCTTATTTGTGTCATTTGGCAGTGAGTACATTAGTGAAAAATTATTTTGAAGGATGAAGTATAGGAAGAGTAAAATTTTATCAAAAATCCCTACTGAGCACCTTGAGAAATCGCTGAATTGCAGCAACTGTCATCAAACCAGACTACTGTATTAGTTTCACAGAAACAAGGTCAAATATCTCATCAGCTTTTTATGTTTTGTTGCTCTTTTTTTAAATACATTTTAATAAAAAAACATTAAAAAATCAAATAAGTTTTGTTACTTATATATATATTATCTATATTATATGCTTATTGAGAGCTGCTCTGAAAGTAATGTCTCGTATTTTATGACACGAACCTAACATTTTAGACTAAGAGTCTATTATTGATTGTCAAGACTGCAGTGACCACCAGTACAGCATTTATTAATAGCAGGACAATGATTATATTGATGTAGTTCATAAGTGTTATGTGCAGCATATAGAGATTACTCCCAGAACGTGGAAACAAACATTAAACAGCATCTGGTGAAAGATCTAAGAGTGCTTTCTGTATGACAAAGCATGCTTCTTGGTGCATTTTTATGTTCACTATTGCTTGAGGGATTTTTTTTTTTTTGATGTATTGAAGTCTTTTGCTAAAACAGATATCTTTTTTCTTTTTTTCCCTTTTTTCCTCCAAACATTATTGTCAACAAATGCTATTGAAATAAAATGCATTAAAAAAAAAATCTTTTCTTCCCTCTTGCACCTAGTTACTCACCATTTTGAAAGAGCGTGTACTGAGGCTATGAACAAAATGGAAAACGAACATGCAATAATCATAACCAGTGGAATACCCTTTACCTCAGGCTCTGTCCTTGCAGGGGCTTCTTCCTGGCCATGGGTCCTGGCAGCCAATGGACTTTAAACTCTGCACTCCTTTCTCTGAAAATGCTTCATTGCTTTTCAGTTCTAGAATATCTTCTTCCAGCTGTTGCACCAGTAAGGCACTGGGAAATAAATGCTACATTTTACTGTTGTGGTTGCCCTCTTCTCTTTTCCTATCAGTCTGTAGAATAGAATGATGGCCAGCTCCAGAGTTCACCTGGTCTGGTGGGCTGTCTGTTAGGGGCCAGAAGAGGTGGGGTAGGGAGAGAGTGCAAGAATGGGCCAAACACTGAGGATTCCTTCCCTGATGCAGTCTTCCCTTCTCGCCTAGCCGTTGTCTTCCAGGCTTTCCAAGACCAAGGGGATCGTCTTGGTTTTTGTGCAGAACAGGATCTTTGCCTTCTCCTCATGTCTTCCACTCGTTCATTGCTTTGAATGGTGAGCTCTGTAATATTTGTAAACCCTTGTCAGTGAGCTCATCTTTATATTCAGTACTGCGGTACAAGTTTCCAAGTTGGCACCCACAACTTTGCTGGAAAAGGAACTCCACAGAGTAATTATGAGTCATCTGAAAAAAGTACCTTTTTGGTTATTTAAAAAATTTTTGCTCTACAGCTTCATGTACTTCTCTTTCATTCTTAGATTATGAAAACTAAGACATAATAACTTACAATCTTCTTTGTACTATCACAGTTTTATAAACCTTTATCGTACTCCCTCTCAACCATCTGGTTTTTCAGACTGAAGAGTCTTAGCTTATTTAGTCTCTCTTCATAATGAAGAGAAGCCGTTCCATATTTCTGCTCATCTTAGTTGCCCTTCTTTGTATCATTCTGTATCCTTTTAGAGATGGCAGGACTACAAGCACAGATCTGTGGAGGCAAAATGGACTTGTATTCAGCAGTGCTGTTTTCTATTTTGCTTTCTTTCCCTTCCAGAGAAATTCCTAACATCTCATTTCCTTTTTTGACAGCAACTGCATCAGCAATTTTTTTTAAAGTACACATTGTGATTCATATATATGTATAGAAGAGCAACTGTTTTTTTTTAATAACTGAGACACAATTCTTATAAATCCCTTGCTTTTGTCTTTAATGAAAGTGCTTTCAGGAATTTTGCCAGTGCTTGTCTGGGGACAGCTCAGAACAAGGAACCTGATGACTGCTGGATAACACCTGAAGTTGAGCTGCAAATGTATGTGGACTTGCATGGTCACACAAGGTCTCCCAGAAGTGCGCTAAAGATATTTAAGAAACAAAGTGACTGAAGCAGAGCACTAGCTAATACAGCCTCTCAAGAGCAGAGGAAAAGATTGCAAGAAAGAGTGATCATTTTTAGGGGTGTTGGACAGTCCTTGCTGTCTAGGTAGAAGAGCATGAGTATGTTAGAGAAAAATCCCCAGCAGCATAAGACTTAATATCCAGGATTTTCGGGTAAATCACCATGACTCAAAGCTCTATGTGATCATGTGTACAGATAACATTTTAGTAGTTAGCAGCACTGTTTGATACTAGGCAGGAATTATTTATGAAATAAAACATTAATGCAATAGTTCATCAATTTATACTTTTGTTTCCCATTCTTAAGAATTCTGTAAAGAAATTCTAGTGAATAAATAGAATGAAGATTACTAGATTTTTTCTTCTCTGTTTTGGTGTAGACATTCAATGTATTTGTAGAATAATGATTGTTAGAAACTAAGAAGATCTACAGAAAATTAAGTAATTGAGTCCATACACGTTAGTCAAACTGTTTTAATCCATTTCTTCATTTTATTTCTCTGTTAAAGAGAGGCAATATTTGCTTACATAACTAGGAGTGCTGTGAGCGATAATTAATGCATATAAGCAGCAGTATGATTAAAGTGAAGAGCTATGTACTTCCAAAGGATTATTAATTTTATTATCATCATTAGTACTGCACTGAGCTATTGTAAATTGCTGAAAGAGCCAATTACTGTGGATTTTCTTGAGATGACTTCGTAAGGTATTAAAAGGAGGATGTTACACTGCAGAAATCTACAATGAAGTTGTCAAATTGAGATTACATTCTGTGCTGTAAAATGGTATCATCCATACCAGAAGCAAAAGTAATTTGTAAATGCTGATTAACACAAAAACATGCTCATCTATCTTTTAACTTATACAGTGGCTCCTCCCCTGCTTGCTGAAAATCTCTATTAATGATTTTGAGTCATAAGCCAGAAGTGTAATTTCAGGAAAAAGGCTATGGCCAATGACCTTGGCCAATAGCCAATAAACAACTGGATTTCTGAAGTTTAATGAGGGCATACTGACCAACTGAGCAGCTGAATCTGACAGCGTGAAAGCTCTCACCACTGGGAATGCTTATGCCAGCTCCTGCAGCCCAGAGGGTGGTGAGCTGTGGCTATCCCATGGCTGTGACCAGGCACTCGTGCTAGAGAGGGGAGGAACTGCAACACAGCTGGATAAGAGATGTGTGGTCCTAAGGCTTCCAGCTATGGCTTCTTATCCCTCGCTTTGTAGCATATGTCCCTCAGGTAAAGCAGTCTGCTGGCACGACTGAGCTCTGAAATGAGCTGTGGAATAAATCTGATTAAAAACGGCACCAGCAACTATTGTTTGGGAAAGTGTATTTTAAAAAAAATAGATCATTTATAAAGATGTTTTGGAATATGGCTAAATCTCAAGTCTGTCTCCATGAAGATTTAAAATAGTTTTGTCAAAATCTACTTTAAATGGCTATTTGGATTAATATTCTTGAGTTTCCCGTGAGCACAAGTCAAATTATACCGTGAAGAAAAATTCACTTATTTCCACTGGCAGTAAGTAATAATTTCTTATACATAATTTCTGCCTCTTATTTGAGTAGCTACCCAGACATTCCAATTTAGTTTCTTGATGAGTTGAGAATAAAAGATTTCCCTATTCTAAACTGAGAAATTAATTACAGTATAAAGACTGTCTATGAAGAGAAATACTGTTATTCTTCATCCTTTACCAATGCTGAGAGAAAGTAATTAGGAGTCTAATCAAACCCCATGCAGGGTTCGTAGGGAAGGTTAAACCACCTCTGACCTTGCTGCCACTTTACTTTTCTGGGTACTGGAAGGAGTGCTGATTTAATTGAAACAATCCAGGAACCTGACAAGACTCTCTTCCTGTGATAGCAATCTCTGAATTATTGGAAAATACCATTAAGGGAGACAGCGGGGTTTGTGGCAGCTGTCAAAGTTGTCCTACAAAGCTTCCAGCATAGCCACGCCATGCAGGAAGGTAGCATGGACTCATTCAGTTGGTGATTTTTAGAAAGGGCTCAGCCAAGCAAAGATTGTTCTTTTTTTCATGGGTTTCATTATCGGTCAGCTTTGCTGGGACATGAAGCCTACCTCAATGGTGCTGTATTTCAATGTCTTGATGATATTGTTGAGTTACTGACCAACAGCATCACATTAAAACTCTTCTGCAGCAACAGGATGAATGTAATTAATGTTGGGTGATCATCACAACATGTCTATTCACTCATTTCAGGCCAGACTGGACATCTTGGAATTCAGACTGGATCTACATTAAGATTTCTTTATTGTGAGGGTGGGCAAACACTGGAATGGGCTTCCTATTGAGGCGGCTGATGCTCAAAAGGCATTTGGCCAACATCCTCATAAATACGCTTTAACTTTTGGGTAATGCTGAAGTTTGACAAGACTTGGTGATCTTTGTAGGCCACTGCCAAATGAACAATCCTACTCTGCTCATTTTGTTATTTTCTTCTGCCTTTCTTCTCCCTTTGAGGGATTCGATGGAAACCTCTAACCCTAAACCCCTACTTGAAGACATTTTGAGGAAGCAAACACCATCCACACTGCTCTGTGAACCACCCTGCCCTTGCAGCATGTGGCAGAGAGGCCCCACCTTCACGGCCAAGTCTGTCGGCCCACCTGCAACCTCAAAGCCGCCAGAACCGCGCCCTAAGGGAAGGGGCTGCCAACTGGGCCACCCTACTGGACGCAGGGTTGGAAACGATGGTGCGATGAAGCCTCCCTTGGCCCATTGGAGCCAGCCAGAGCAGCGGGAAGCCCCAGGGCCCAGCGCAGCCCAGCGCCCGGCCACGGGTGGGCGCTGCCCAGTGGGCGGCAGCCCCCGGCAGCCCCTCGCGCCTCCACCGTGGGTCTCCCGCGGGGCCCCCGCAGCGCCCCCAACGGCCGCCTCCAAGTGCGGAAGGCGGAGCTCGGCCCCCGCGACGCGTTTCAAACGGGCGAACCGTCGGGCGCGGAGGGAGGGCGGGCCGGAGCGCAGTCCCCGCCTGGGAGTTTAAAGCGCCATTTTGTGCCGGGCGGCGGATATCGATCGTAGCTCCCTGTCGGGCGAGCGGCGGGGCGCTCGGCGCCCGTCCTCTGCCCTTCTCCGCGCCTGTTTCCCCCGTCCCTCCGCTCCCATGACCCGCAGCAGGAAGCAGGCGGCGCTGGAGAGAGGAGCCGGCAAGATGAACCCAGAAGCGGGGAGCGCCGCGGAGGGGACCCGGGCGGCGGCGGCGGCGGCAGCGGCGGGGGCAGCCGGGAACGGAACGGCGCCCGGCGCCTGGGGGCTGGAGGGGGATTCGGAGAAAGTTGTATACTCGCGTTCGCAGGTCTCCTACGCCGGCACCAAGGCGCTGGGCGACGCCCTCAAGCTCTTCATGCCCAAGTCCACCGAGTTCATGAGCTCCGACTCGGAGCTGTGGAACTTCCTTTGCAGCCTCAAGCACGAGTTCTCCCCGGTCATCCTCCGCAGCAAGGACGTCTACGGCTACGCCTCCTGCCGCGCCGTCGTCCCCGACCCGCCGCCGCCCTCGGCCGAGCGGCCCCGCCACCGGCCCGGCAAACGGCGCCTCCCGCCCGCCAAGCGCCGGGCCGCGGTCACGGGCGGCTCCGCCAAACGGCCCCGGCGGCGGCGGCGGCGCCGCAGGAGGGCGCAGGGCTGGCGGCACCGAGCGGCACCGGCGGCCGATGGCACCCACGGCGAGGAGCGGCTGGAGGCGGCGGCGGGGCCGCCGGGCGAGGACGAGGCTGAGGCCGAGGACAGTGAGCGGGGCGGCCCGGCCGAGCAGGCCGCCTGGAGGCAGCCGTTCGGCGGCAAGTCGCTGGAGGAGATCTGGAAGGCGGCCACCCCTCGCCTCACCACCTTCCCCACCATCCGGGTGCGCGGCGGCGTCTGCAACTGGCGCAGCGTGGAGGCGGCGCGGCGCCGGGCGCAGCGGATCCTCGGCGTGGACCTGTCGCCCGTGGTGCGGGTGCGCCGCCTGCCCGTGGCGCCGTCCTGAGGCGGAGGGAGGGGAGGGAAGGCCGGCGCGGACAAAGAGACCAATATCAGTCACCTGTTTACATTGCTTTTGTCTGGATCATGTTCTTCTGCTGCACTTTACGGCTCGCTAGAATCGGGGCCGGGGCGCAGGGCCCCGGGCGGGCGAGGGGCCGGCTGCGGGTACCGCGCGTGGGGACCAAGTTCCGCTTCCACTTCTCCCATCGGGCTACCTCACTGGTCCAGAAGTCCACCCAAGAAGTTGTTTTCCAAAGGAACTTAACTTTCATGCTTGTATAATAAAGCACCATCCGATTCTCGTTTCCCCCCCTCCCCCTCCCCCGCCCTTTTCTGATGGATTATGTATGCTTTGTGGTGTTGCACTAGTATGTGCTCAGGGTATTTTGAATCCCAAGCATTCCCAAGTTTCAGTTCACTCTGACCGAGGATGCGTTAAGAATGGAGGTTCAGGACTTGTGGCTGTTCTTGATGGTGCAAAAACTTTTTTTTTTTTTTTTTTTTTTTTAAAATTTCATGGGCTTAGTGATATATACAGATGTATTGCTCAGTATAATTGTTACACTTTTGTATCTAAAGTCATTTTTAAGGTTTTCTAGTTGAACTAAGTATTTGTTTCTATTGAGCACCTAAAGATAGAATCATGCTGATATTTTATAAACATGTTTACTTTAGGGAAGCTCATTTGGTCAACCTAAGTGAACTTAATAAAAGTTAAAGAAAAGTGATGTTTCAGTTCAATGAAACTGGACTGCACAGAGGTGGGTTCCTTGCTGGAGTCTGCCGTGTTTGTACTTAACGGAGGCTCTGTGGTATCCCCAGTAAACAAGCTTAGAGCTGGTGAAGAGTGTAACTATTCAAATGGAAGCATAGGTGTCTGAAGGTGAACTGTGGTACATGTAATGTTGGTGTTAATGGCAAAAAAAAGAAAGAAAAAAAAAAAGACTCAGTACCTGGTTACTTCTTAACGAAATAGCACTGGTGTCAAACCTGGGGCTGTTAGATGACTGATGGTAGATAACCATATCGTTGTAATTACTTGCACATAATTATTTTTATAAATCTCTCCTGGGCTTCATAGTGGACTGTGGTGTAAAACTCTAATGTGGTTTAACCACTTGAACAGAAAAATTACATCTTGCTATTCTGTGTGGTGGGCAGTCCCTCTTTAATCTTGGTGGTTTTTTGTTTCTGTTTTTTTGTTGTTGTTGTTGTTGGTTGTTTGTTTGTTTTTTTGAAGGGCTTTTCCTGGTTCTTGCTCATTGCTGTTGGTGTGTAAGAAGCAAAGGTGTAGATTTTCTTCTGCTTGATGTTTTTTTGAGTTCAGGAGAAGTGTTTGGTGAGAGACAGTTTATGTTCTTTGTATCCTAGCGAGCAAGGAACTTCTCAGTTTCCATAGTGGAATGAATGACTTCACAATTTGTTTATGGGATGGTTTAGCAACTTAAAATTTCTTTCCTGATTGCTGTTGACTCCTTGTTGCCTGCTGTTGATGGGAGTAGTAAGACAGCTAGACGCGTAGAGGTAGTTTGTAAACTTTTAAGTACTAACCTGAAGCAACCAAATTCTTCTAAAACTTATTTATATTGTGTAGTTTTTACTTAGCAAAGCTGTGAAGATCTTATTCTTCCAAAGTAACCATCTGTTCTATAACCATTAAGTTTTGAAATCGTTTACATAACATTAGACTGCCTGCTGATGGCTGCAGTAGTGCCACGTCAGATTTCAGAAGGGAACTAGGAAATGGAAGTTCAAGGGTGCATATTGTTATGCTGTTTCTCTGGCTATAATGCTTGCTTAAATTTAGAGGCAAAGTTGTGTTGATTTAAAACTCAGTATGACAAACTGCCTTGTGACCAAATGCCAAGTATTTCAGTTTTGACATTCACTTCAGAAGTGCTAGCTAAGAAGATTGTTACTGATACTTGAAGTGTCTAGTTGACTTCAATGAAGTTATGTTCCTACTGCTACATTGAATTATTTTGTTCAGTGTTCTTTTGAGAAATCTGGGTAGAGATAATGAAATTGAAGCAGCTGTCTTGTGCAGATTTTTCGCATAATTTGTAAACAGTTGTAGGACAGACTAGATTAGATGTCTGGGGCAGAGTGAAGGCTGCCAGAGGTAGGATATGGGAGATACTGTACTTTGTGCTGCCTTGTTTTGATGTTTATTCTGAAATGTTGTTTGTGGGTATGAAATACTGTGAAATAACATCACTTCTGTCGAGTGAGTCTTGTGTAAGCTGCGTGCCTACACAAGGTGTACTTCTTTTTCTCTTGGTTCTGCTTTGAATTCTTGGTTCTGAGGCAGCAGCTCTTTGGGGGGTATGCTATGTTTTGCAGATACTCTCTGAGGAAGTTGGATCAAAGATCTGATAGCTGCATTCACAAATTCTTAACTGAGTTATTTCTGTCTGCGAACTCAGTTAAGGGGGGAAATCTATAGTTAAGTTTTCTGGTAAATTAATGTGCTAAGATAGCAGAGGATCAGTGAAAGGAGGGACTGTGAAAGCTAGCAGCTTACAGGAGAGCTAACAGCTGAATTTCATGGTCATGTTTACAACAGTTTTGGCAATCAAGGGTAGGATTACCTGTGGTGTAGCTCTTCTCTTCCCCTCTCAAAACTGCAGTTCCTACCTACTGCTTTGTCTTGGTGCTCATCTGAGGAAGCTAATCTGAAGTCTGTTCTATTTTAGGTTTGTGCAGACTGATAATTGTTGGCTCTTTTTGGACCTCTTAGCTGCAGGCAAGAACTGAGGAAGTCAGACAAGAGTGTGCAAGACTTCTGCAATATTGAATTAGACAATTTTAAAATATAGAAGCATTGGGTTTTATTCTACCTGGTGAACTAATGACATTATTGTACTTTACAGATGCTGTTGGAGAAAGTATAATAGATTAGGTGGATTTCTGGTCTGACTCAACGTGGCTGTTTTCATACAAATCCATTATTATTTGAGAAGTGTGGTTTGCCTGATTTAATTCCGTGGCTTTCAGTATCCTCTCATAGATTCATAGAATGTCCTGGGTTGAAACAGACCACAATGATCATCCAGTTTCAACCCCCTGCTGTGTGCAGGGTCACCAACCACCAGACCAGGCTGCCCAGAGCCACATCCAGCCTGGCCTTGAATGCCTCCAGGGATGGGGCATCCACAACCTCCTTGGGCAGCCTGTTCCAGTGTATCACCACTCTCTGTGTGAAAAACTTTGTCCTAACATCTAACCTAAACCTCCCCGTCTCAGTTTAAAACCATTCCCCCTTGTTCTATCACTATCCAACCTCATAAATGGCCATTCTCCCTCCTGTTTATGTGCCTCCTTCAAGTACTGGAAAGCTACAATGATATCTCCCTGGAGCCTTCTCCAAGCTAAATAAGTTCCATTCCCTCAACCTTTCTTCATAGGCAAGGTGTTCCTGCCCTCTGATCATCTTAGTGGCCCTCCTCTGGATCTGTTCCAAGAGCTCTGCATCTTTCTTTTGCTGGGAAGCATGAAATGCATGCCCAGAATAAATTCAGCTTACAATGCCTAGTCTAGTTGAGTCAGCATGGCTGAGTTCATATTAAACAGGAGTCCTGTGGTAGCCTCTATTTGCAGACTTTTGCAGTAGCCAGTTCCTTCCCGTGTGAGCTCCCTTCATACAATGTCTTTGTGTACTCAAAGTTGTACTCTTTCCTTTACCAAAATGTGAGTTTTTATCCAGTCACTCCAAGGCTATTGAATTTCAGATTGCCACAATGCCGAAATGAGTTTTGTTACAGCCCCAGATGTCAAGGAGGGAGTTGAGATGTCCATTGTGTCTCACATATTGCTGAGAGTATACTCTGAATCCAAGAGGCAGTGAGTGCCTTCCTCTGTCATCATGCAAGTACATTTTTCAGGACTGAGGTGTGTGAAAGGAGAAAGCAGTGCCTTACAGACATTTTTCTCTGATGTTGCATAGAAGTTGTCACGTTTGAAGGATCACAGTGTATCGCTGTCCTTGAAGCCGTCAATTGCCAACCTGTAAACAACAAACTTTATGTACCCATGCCTCATGCAGAGCATCACTGTGTATACTTGCCAATGGCAAGACTTATGGTACTTGGATTTTGATCTGAATGTGTAGGGGATATTGTGTGTGTCTGTATTTTCCTTTATTCTTGCCTATCAGATGCAAGGAGCAAAGTAGTTTGTAGATGACAGATTTAATCCCAAATAACATTTCAGTTAACAAGGCAGAGTCCTGGACTCCTTGTGCTACCAAGAAGAGTTGATTTATGCTAATTTAAAGTTGATCAGTAGTGTAGTCTGAGTTCAAAGTTTGCATGTACAGGAAACCAGCACTGAAAACATCTATTTCTTTTTAGCCTGGTAGACTGGCACATCAAGAAAAATTTATTAATTGTATGCATAAATGAAACCTGTTGACTATAACTTGAACAAAATGCTTTGACTTCAGATGCTCAGTTTATGATGACATTTACAAATACAGGAAATCTGGAATCAAATTACTGTATTTACAGTAGATTTTAGACGTTACCCATGAAACAAGGCAATTAATATTAAGTAACATAGCAGGTAAGGAATCCTGGAACTCATGAGACCCAAATTCTGATACTCTCTTTGTCTCATTTGGAGGAGAATCTCTGAAGTGCCAAGTCGTGAAGACTGAGTTATAGCAGCTTAGACTGTTTCACTCTGTATAATAAAAAATCACTAAACTTGAAGAAATTCCTGGATATTAGTGAGTTTGTTTGTTTGGATGGTTCTTGTTGTTCCTTACACCTTGGTTCTTCATCTGGTACTTATTTTAGGTGAATGTTACTGCCCTAACAGTAAAGACAGACAGCTGCATTCCATAGTGTTCTGTGGTAGGACATCTGCTTAGGCAGTGACTCCAAATGTGTACTGCTCATGATGCTTTATTCCCAAGCTTTCAAGAGTCATCCAGTGGGTATGATGGTAATGGGACAGTGTAGGACAATGTTGAAATATTTCTCATCCCTAATCAAAGTAAAGCCATTTTTCCACATGTAAAAATAAAGTGTATGTCCTCAAAGTTAATGTCTAAATATCTTTGTAGGGCTATAAAAAAAATCTCTTAGTTATTTTGTTGTTGCTACCTTTTTCTTTAAGTAAAAAGGTCTGAAAATATTTCTGGGGTTGTTATCAAGAATGGAATCTCATTTATCCACTGATTTAATCATCCTGGAATCCTGGAATTCATGAGACCTTGATGTTATAGGACAAGGGAGAAACGATCCTTCATTCCTGTAGATCACTTTTGCTCTGATGGTGTGCAAATGAACCAAACAGGGGTTCCCTGTGCTCTCTGCTGGGATTTAAGAAAGCTCCCTTTCCAATTCTTTCAGGCTCCTTATTTGAGATTGTAGAAAATGAGATGTGGTAGTCTCAAAGTTAGAACATTGCCAACGGGAAAGCCCTATCCCTTTAACTGCTCTGATCAGTCTGTTGCTCTTTTCTCCCCATTGCTACTTCAGGAATGCACGCTAACTGCGATGTCCTCTTTTCTTAGACTGGTTTGGAGGAGAGAGCTGAACAGTCTAGAGGTCGTGGGGAGGGAAATGCATGCTCTTCAAGACAGCTTTTATTTTGGGGCGGTTGCGTGTTGACTGCTTCTTCCCACCTTCGCTCTTTACTGCGCTGTCAGGCACTTCTAATTACCTGTTGCTTTGCTCATGCAACTGAAAAAAAAAAAAAAAAAAAGCAAAATTACAGTGGATAGCAGTGAGGCAAAACTTGCAACAGTATTACCCTCATAGAAACTGGGCAGATTTACAAAAGATAGCGACTTGGCAGAACTGATTTAGAATTCAGTGGAATTCCAATGGTCAATGGCTTTGCAAAACTGTTAGGATATTCCAAACTTGTAAGGATACTGCCCCTGTGTGCCAAAAGTGAAGTCAGAG